TAGCATAGTGTCTGGCACGTGGTAGGAGTTTAACAAATGTTAACAAAACACTATTGATAGCTTAGTTGTATGCGGGATGAGGATTAGCTGACTGACCTATGCAACCCTATAAATCCCTTTCCTTTGCTTGTTTTATTCTCCTGTATAGGTCTCGAAATGTACATGTCCAGCCTTTGAGATGACCTCAAGAGTTAGAAAAGTTCCAAAGATCCTGGGTCCTTGGACAGTGCTGACTACACTTCAGGAGAAGTCCCTAACGCCTACTCTAGCCCTCTGCCTGTGTGACCATTCCTTATTAGTGTCCTTTGCTAGATCATCAACTGTCTCCTACCCTTTTAGTGTCTAACTTGGGCCCTCTTCTTGAGCTACACTCTTTCTCTTGGTGGTGTGATTGGTTTCCATCAATTCATTTCTCCTTTGGAGAAGCAGCATGGTATGGCAGTTTGAGGATTAAAATTGTCCAGCCTACAAGAAAAACCACTGAGGCAGAGCTCTGAGCCAATGGGTCTTTATTAAAGGGTCCATGGTCCCCTCTAATGAAATAGATCTTCTTCATGATCTGAGATGCACTCTTCTTCCCAGGGTCTTATTTTTATAAGGCTTGATACCAGATTTGGTACCTGAACAATCTGAAGAGGCAATGCAAAGTACAGGCAGAATCCCATTGGCTGCTAGATCTTGCTTCCCAGGTGAAAAAAAATGGTATGTCAGCAGGCATTCTTGGGTTGGGCAAAGCACGGGGAATCTCCACTGGGTAAACAGTCACCTGTTCATGTTGGACAAGAGAGAATGGTCTGGAGGTACAAAAATAAGATGGGGGACTTTCCATGTCATTAAGTCACCTCTGCCACTTTGGGCTTGGTCACCACAACAAGGAAAAACAAAGGTGGGGGGCCTCTAGTTACCTTCCTGTGATTAAACAAATGAACTTACAATCTGCAGTTCATAGCTCTGGGGCCTAATATGCAGATTTATGATCATTACCCCCTTTGGAATCATAGCAAACTGATCGATATTGGTTGGAATAGAGTAGGGGTCCAAATGAATTATTTCTCACACTGCAGGATGTGCTGGATTTGCAGTCAGAAGACCTTGCTGCCCAAGGCACCAGTTCTGTGATCATAGGAAAGTTGTTTTACCTCTCAGCGCCTCAGCTGCCTCAGCTGTAAAATGGGAATAATAATACTGACATTATTATGTTGCGGGGGGTTTATGAAGAGAGTACTCAGCAAACTATAAAGTAATGTATACGTGTGAATTATCACTTTTGTGCAGATGAATCTCCAATCTCAAGTCATGTAAACAAGCTTTTATTAAGCATCTACTACGTACCAGGCACTGTGCTAAGTACTGGGGATACAAAGACAACCGAAAATCATCCATTGCTCTCAAGAGCTCACGGTCTAATGAGGAAGGCAACATGTAAACAACTCTATAAATAAGCCTGTATATCATAAACTCAAAATAATCAACAGAGGGAAGGCACTAACATTAAGGGGGACTGGTAAAGTTTTTGGTAAAAGACAAGATTTTTCCCAGCCAGGAGGCTGAGATGAGAAGGGAAAGCATTCCAGGCATGAGGGACAGTCAGTGAAAATGCCCGGAGTAAGGAGATGAGTGTCATGTGCCAGGAACAGATTGAAGAGTATGTGGAAGGTAGTGAGTTATAAGAAGACTGGACGGTTAGAAGGGGACAGGTTATGAGAGACTTTACAAAGCCAAACAGAGTATTTTATATTTTTCCTGAAGGTAATAGAGAGCCACTGGGGTTGATTGAATAGGAGGGTGACATGGCTTGACCTGTAATTTAAGATGATCATTTTGACAGCTGAGTGGAGAATAGAATGGAATAGAGAGAGAAGAGGAAGGGAGACTAATCAAAAGGCATGAAAATAAACCAAATGTGAAGTGATGAAGGCCTGCACCTGGGTGATGGCAGTGTCAGAGGCGAAGAATGATACATGATAGATAGTCTTCCTTTTACTAAAACCCAGGTCTGGCTGTACAACTCACCAACTCAAAAATCCAGTGACTCTGTTGCCTCTAAGATGAATTCTAAATCAACCAAGCATCAAGCATATTTTAAGTACCACAATGTGCCAAGAATCGTGCTATGTGCTGGGGACACTCAAATACATTTGTAATCTCAGTTTGGAAATTCCTTCCCATGTTACAGACCACAAACCATCCATCCAAGCCTACTCATCCATGCCCAGCCATCCTGTGCAACTCTTGTTCACATTCTTCCATAAACTGCCCAAAGGGGGCAGTGTCTACCCAACATAGTGAAGAACTTCCTAACTTTCTCCTGACAGCAGGAGCATAGCAGTAGAAGACTCTGGCCTTCCACAGTTCATCCCTCATCACAAGACCAGACCATCTTTTCCTCCTATCACACAGTTCTTTAATTATGTCTTTTGTGCCTGTCCTTTTTCAAAGATCTTTGAACATTTCACACACCCACCATTTACCTTTCCATTGCCCTTTATAGGGCATTCTTTTTTGTCCTTTGGAGATTGTTGCATTTTAGGTTTTGCTGACACATAGGCACACTGGCCCAATGTTTCTATAACATGGCATGCACAGAGCTTCCCTGGCTGCTTCCATCTGACTGTATATGCTGGCTTAGCTCTCTGGCACTTTGGGGATGGAAATGCCACTGTCTACTTGTGGCCTACTATGTGTGGCTCAGCATTGAAGGACTCTGGTGTTTGGGTATAAGGAAGCAATCCCCTTATTGGCCAGCAAAAAGGAAGAGCCTGTGACTAAGTAGTTCTTTAAAAAGAATGTCTGCAATTGATAAATGGTCGAAGGATATGAGTAGGAGTTTTCAGATGAAGAGATTAAAGCCATCTATTGTTATATGAAAAAATGCTCTAAATCACTATTGATTGTGCAATCAAATGCAAATCAAAACAACTCTGAGGTACCACCTCATACCTATCAGACTGACCAATATGACAATCCAGTGAAATGACAAATGTTGGAGAAGATGTGGGAAAATAAGACACTAATGCATTGTTGGTGGAGTTGTGAAATGATCCAACCATTTTGGAGAGCAATTTGGAGCTATTCCCAAAGGGCTATAAAAATGTTCATACCCTTTGACCCAGCAATAGCACGTCCAGGGCTGTATCCTAAAGAGAGCATACAAACGGGAAAAGGACCCACGTGTACAAAAATATTTATAGCAGCTATTTTTGTGGTAGCAAGGAATTGGAAATTGAGGGGATATCCATCAATATCCATCAATTGGGGAATGGTTGAACAAGTTGTGGTGTATGAATGTAATAGAATACTATTGTACTATAAGAAATGATGAGCAGGCAGACTTCCAAAAAACCTGGAAAGACTTGCATGGACTGATGCTGAGTGAGGTAAGCAGAACCAGGAGAACATTGTATACAGTAACAGCCATGTTGTGCAATGACTAACATTGATAGACTTAGCACTTCTCAGCAATGCAAGGATCTAAGACGTCTCCAGAGGTCTCATGATGGAAAATGCTATCCACACCCAAAGAAAGAACTGTGGAGTTTGAATGCAGATTGAAGCATACTATTTGCTATTTTTTTCTTCTGTTTTGTTTTGTTTTCTCTTTCTTATAGTTCCTCCCATTGGTTCTAATTCTTCCTTACAACATCACTAATGTGAGAATATGTATAATAGGAATATATATGTATAGTCTATGTCAGATTGGGTGCTGTCTTGGGGAGAGAGGGGGAGAAAAATTTAAAATGCAAAAGCTTGTGGAAGTGATTGTTGATAAAAACAAAATAAATTAATAAAAAAAAAAAATAAAAAGAATGGCTGCACCCCTGTCCCTCCTCTTTTTGACCGTTGGGGGCATCATAAAAATGTGGGACTTCTTGTGACAAGCGGGGTAGGGGTAGTCCCTTTCCACCTAGCAGCAGGTCTATTGCTTCCCTGTGGCAGCTAGAGTAAAGGGAATCAGCTAAGTGAGTTCATGCCTGGGCCTCTTCTGCTTTGTGTTTCTTTGCCTGTGACAGAACATCAGTCTTGAGATGAACATACTTCCAATATTGGAAGCAACTTTATCCGTTTGTTTTCATGATCCTGGGTCCTGCATTGAGGTTGACTTCAATTCAGTCACTCTTCTAAGTCTATCAATAACTACTTATTAAGCACCTACTATGTGCTAGGCGTTGTGCTAAGTGCTAAGGATACAAAAAAAGGCAAAATATGGTTCCTGCCCTCAAGGAGCTCACAATGGAACTGGGGAAGATAGTAGACTTTCACCTTTCACATGCTCCTTCACTTCACAACCATTTTTCTGAAAAGCAATGTAGGATAAAGGGGGACCTTGAAGTTCTATAGATGAATGGTGCCCTGAGCCACCCTTAAATAGAAGACCTGGGAGAGGTTCTTTGATGTCCACCCCCTACCCTCTGCAATCAGAAGGAGGAAAGGGTTCCAGAGGCAAGGTGGTATTGAGGAAGAGTGAGCTTCAGAGGTGATTCCATCTTTCAGGAAGATGAGTTTCTGCAGAGACTGATGAAGTTCGAGAGAGCAGCCAGGTGGTAATTGATTAGGTGGCTGCCCTGGGCCTTTTCACTGGGGAGTTTATAGAAGACAAGCACTTCAAACCCTGACCTGGCTGGCATAAAGGCATGAATTTGCAGGAGATTATTTGGGTGATGCAGAGCTGAGGTGAAATGTATCATTCAGCATTCCTGCAAACTGTTTTACATTCTGATTTCAAAATCTTAACCTCCTGGTATAATGAGAAGTTGTATGCCACTTTTTCAAGTATTTACATTTCTGGGGCAGCTAGGTGGCACAGGGGAAAGAGCACCGGCCCTGAAGTCAGGAGGACCTGAGTTCAAATCAGGTCTCAGACCAAACACTTGACACTTACTAGCTGTGTGGCCTTGGGCGAGTCACTTAACTGCAATTGCCTAAAAAAGAACAAAACAAAAAATTTACATTTCTTTCAAGGCTCATTGAGTATAATAGTAGTTATTAACACCTGTTTAAGCTTTTATTAATGCCCACGTGTTAAGCATTCCTTTTGTGTGTAGCAAAGTAGTAGTAGTAGTAGTAGTGGTAGTAGTAGTAGTAGTAGTAGTGCTGGTAGTAGTAGTAGTAGTAGTAGTAGTAGCAGCAGCAGCTAGCATTTACTTAGTGCTTTGAAGTTTACAAAGTGCTTTACAAATGCTATCTCATTTAATCCTTTACAACATCTCTAAGTAGGTGATCTTATTATCCTTGTTTTACAGATGAGAAAACTAAGACAGACAGAGGTACCATATTTGATTCATATTGTACAAGGAAAAGCTTTCTAACTTTTGGAAACCCTAGAAATGAGCAAACCTTGAGCTTTAAGTAATTTTTCCCCTGGGGTTCTGAGCTGCGGGTGAGGAGGTAAGAAAGGGAGTTCAAACCTTCTTTTAGATGGTCCAAACTTGAACACAGTCCAGACCACATGTTTGGATCCTGAGCAGATGGAACCTTTACTTGGGAGGGAGAGAGTACAGCACTACAGCCCTCCTTCACCCAGAATACTTGTTAGATTTGTATGAAGAGGATGAGTCCTTGCCTATGTGGGCAGCTTGGGGTCATTAAAAAGAAGCTTTGCAATTTTCTAAAAGCAATCTATTTTATTGTCCTTGTCTTGTTTGATTCTTGGTCCAACTCATTGTTCAGTTGTATTCTCTGTCCCAAATAGACATACTGAGGGGCAGTCAGAGCCACAAGTTGTCCACACATATGCATGTTATAGGCATTCTTCATTTATTTGGTCTTACCTCTGTCAGACCAAATTGTTAGTAATGACAGATACATTCCAGTATGCTCTGCAGTGTTCCAGGGCTTTATGAAATAAGCACAAAATCATCCGCAAACAGGAACATCTGAAGAACCTCTTCATCCACAGGAAGTCCTTCTTCAACTTATACTCTGTACTGGGTCTCTCCTCCCCAGCTCATCAGCAGCCTTTATTTATCTATCGAATTGAAACTTTTGAGGGTGGTCTAACACCATCATTTTATGGAGGCTAAGGGTTAGTGTCTTCTCCAGAGTCACATAGACCACAAGTAGCAGAATCAGGATTTACATCCAGGTTCTCTGACTAGTAATGGACTGTTTTTCTCATTATGCCATGCTGTGTCTTATAGGTACATTATAGATAGAGTTCTTACACACTGGAGTGTCTAGAAAAGGATGACCCTTCTTTAAGGGACCCTTTGGCTAAGAGGATGAAACACTATGTTATAGTTATTGGAGGACTGGTTGAAGGAACTGGCTATATTTAGTCTGAAGAAGAAAAGACTTGGTTAGGAGGGGAACATGACATACTAATATGTTGAGTTAGACTGACTCACTACACTTTATCCAGAAGAATGCAGCCAGTATGGTAAGGGGACCAAACACTCTGCCATAAGAGAAACAGTTAAGGAATTAGTGATGTTCAGCTTTCAGGGAAAAAGACACAGAATTGGATTTGCTGATAATATCTGTCTTCAGATATTTGAAGGTCTACCAGGTGATTCTAATTGCTAGCAGGAGCTCATGAGGGAGTCCAGGGCTCTCTGGCCTCCAAAGCTGACAGCCTCAGGCCTTGACACTGTCGCTATGGTAACCGTGTGCAAGGTGACCTTCCCAGGTGGGCTACCACAGCACTACTTGCAGTCATGCTTTCAACCCCCACTTGGGGTCTTCTCTTTCAAGCCCCAGGGAGAAGGGGCAAAGGGACCTGGGAGTCTCAGTTTATTAACCCCAGCTACTTCTTTGAGTTTCACGTGTGCTTTCAAGACTTTGAGACCTTAAGCTAGCTTGGCTTAGCAAAAAAATACAACAACAAAAACCCCCGCATGTGTTTTTGTTTGGTTGGTTGGTTTGTTTTTGTTTTTATTATCTTTTGTTATCTTTCTCTGTTCAGTCATTAACACAGCAAACAACTCAGGTTTGTTGACCAATAAGTTTCATCATATTTTCAATATTTAGGAAATAGAACAAAACTTCCAAATCCAGCTGCCTCTGAAAAAGCCTAGAAGAGAAAGGGGAACTACAGTAGAAAGGGAATGATCAGTCAGTAAACTGGAACTGGCTTTCCAGCCCCTCCTTCTGTGAATCAGGAAAGAGAAGCCAGTCATTTTGATTCGCTTTCGCAATAGGAAGGGGGCAGGGAAAGAGGGGGGAATGGCCCTTAAGAGAGAAGTGGGGAGCCTGTTTCTGCACCCAACTGCTTCAGTTACTGGCTCCAATTACCTAGGTAACTGTTGATGGTTCTTTCAACATTCTGAAGCTCGCAAGGTTGCAATCCGATCCATTCTGTCTCTAATATTCATTCATTTGTAAGTGTTTACCCTTCACTGCCTAAAAGTATGTTCCCTCTCACCCCTCCCCTCCAGGTTTCTCTGGTGCTCTTACACAGATGAGGATGTCTAGAGATGTCTCTCTGCCATTGGCTCCAGGTCCCACCAATGGTGTTCCCCCAATTGTAAGGGTGGTTCTCTTGCACCACAATTCATATTAACCATTTAAAAGTTGAATTAGCTTCTACAAAGGAATATTTAGTTCAAATATATAATAATAAACAATATACACTACTCATCATATGAGGCATAACTTCTCCCCTCCCTTCACATCACATCACCTAATACTTTTGGGGGGAATTAGGTTCACAGTTTAGCTCAGTTACTATATAAACAGTCCCAAGCTCCAAATCCATGGAGCTCTTCAGAAGACTAGTGAAGCCTAAGAACTCCTTAGAATAATGTTTTTAAAGACATGAAATTTTAAAATAGGATTGACAAAAAAACCCCAATTATATTGAAATATGATTACCAAAATATTAGAAATTCATGGAATCCCAGGTTAAGAACTTGCTGTGCTAAATTAACTTTAAACTTTAGTCCTTTTCATCTTTTTGGTTCATAGAAGATTCCACCTTTTCCTTTCTGTTACCCCAAAGTTCAGTTTACTTTTTAAGTAATAGCCCATAAAAAGGAAAGTCTATTTTGTCAGTATTTTTATAGGTATACTAATTTAGCTTTTTTGTGTTTCTGTTGCAAGTTTGCAAGGTGTTTGTTAAGTCAAATGTTCTGCTCAGCAATATTGTTTTCTTTTTTTTCAGAATGCCTCTTTTACGTCAAAAATCCATTTTTGTTGATTGTTATTCTCAGCTTTGTAGGATATTTTAATGGAGTTGTAATTTGAGCTCCTATGTTTTTTTTGCAATAACCTTTACCAGTCTCTATTTTTTCTGACTAATTAGTAATCCTGCGTCATTCTGGTTGGCGTTCCTTCATAGTTTAAGTTCTTCCTCTTGCATGTTTACAAAATGTATTGCTTATTATTGACATTTTGAAATTTAACTTTCACATGCCACGGTGTCAAGTGTGGATTTGTTTTCTTGTGGCAATCTGTGGATTTGATTGGTCACTGCTTTCTTTATTCAAAAGTTCTGGACAGTTTTCTACCATTATTTCCTTCACTAGAGTATTCAAGTTTATAGATAGATAGACATAGATATATCTATGCCTAAAAATAGTGATATTTATTTAGGTAATGTGTTATATGTAAATATAATATATGGGTATATGTATTTGTATATACGTTCATATTTACATACATACATATACACATATATTTATGAGATAATCTAATACAGTCACAGAAATTTTGGACACAAGTTATTTATGGCCTTCACCTCATGATTTTTACCACTTCTTTCTATTAGTTCTTTTATAATGGCAGGAAAATGACTCAGAGAGCCATTTCACTTAGGAGGACCAAGGGAAAAGAAAACACCCTAATGTTTAGGTGGTATTAGTTTTCTTGTAGGGTATGTGATAGATATCCTCCTGTTTTCCCTCCCTCCTTTCCTTCCTTCCTTCCTTCCATCTTCCCTCCCTCCTTTTCTCCCTTCCTTCCTTTCTCCTCCTCCCTTCTTCTCTTTTCCTTCTTTCTATGCTCCCTGCCTTCCTCTTTTCCTTCCATCTTTCCTTCCTTCCTTCTCTCTCCCTACCTGCTTTCCTCCTTTCTCCTCTTTCCTTCCTCCATTTCTTCCTCCATCCCTCTTTCCTTTCCTTCCTTTCTTATTGCTTCTTTCTTTCCTTCCTCTCTACCTTCCTCCCTCCCTTCCTCCCTTCCAACTTGATGTTGAAAATACTCCAAAACAGCAAGAGAAGCCAATAGGAGCAGTACTGACTTGTGAATGTGCTTGAATTATTATGGAAAAGAGTAAGTCAAAGATATTGCTGTGGGTAGAATAACTTAGGAGACTAAGTTGTTATAACTGTCACTTAATCTGTCTGGGTCTCAGTTTCCTCATTTATGAAAATGGAAAGGTTGGACTGGGTGATCTTAAATATGTCTCCCAAGTCCGTAATTATATTCTAATCTTGAGAATGTGCTGCTGGGCCCTTAGGGGCTGGGATACAATGCTACTCCCTGTACTGTCTGCCCACTGGCATGTGGTAGGGACTGGTTCAGGGCTGGGGAGATTTGCTTCTAATGAGAAGGGAGCTACATTCTTGTTCTCACATGTTCTTTGTATCATTAAACTTCATCTTTAGCATCCTGGGGGACAAATTATTTAGTATTTAGTGAGGTCACAGGAGTCAAAATTTGAGGTTGGGCCCCCAGCTATCTTTTCTGCTTTGTATTTATGATCAAGCATCAACCTTGAGGTGAAGTGGCCCAGACTTAGAGGCTACCAGGCGAGTGTTAGAAGTCTGGGGCTCCTGGGTCCATGGAGTGAATTTGACAAGGAGATCTTCTTCATCAGAGACAATGATCATGGACAAGAGGAAGTGACCAAAGCTTCTGGCCTGGCTTGTCAAAAAGCACGGACTTTGTGGGAGACAGTGCTGAATTCAGTTTTAAGTCGCTGTGTCAATTTTATGTTTAGCATTTCTTTTTT